ATTTATCATGTACAACTATTTTGTTTGATAATAGTGTGCTTGTTCATCTTAAAATTCACTAGGTCTATAAGATCAGAGGGTACTATAAAGTTTTAATATAGAAAGATACTTAATCAGAACCATTTTTGTATCACATTAAACATATTAAATTTCCCTAACCAAAAGTAGAATAGAAGATATAATAGTAAATAGGTCATCACAACATAGCACAAAGTATGAATAAGATCAAATAAGATATCAAGTCTTGAATGATTAAAGATATGTAACTTAAGTGTTGAATTTTTAAGGTCAAGTTAAAAGATATTTAAAAATAGGTAACTATTCATGAATTTCTTAAAAGAAAGAAACATGTTTTTTAAAAGGCACTACTCATGCATTTGACCTTAAGTATTCAAATTAATTTAAAATTTTCATTAAGGTCACATGCCTTAAGTTGTTTTGTTAAACAATTTATTAAGGTTTGATGGTGATATACTAGTTTTTAGTATCAAATGAATTGTGGATCATTCTGTAATTTGTAATTACTGATCATATGCATATGCAAATGTAATAATTTGAAGAAAGATAACACCATTTATTAAGATTAAACTAAATGGCTTGGCGGGCCAAAGGTGTCCATTTATGGTGCGAAATCTTATTTTTTAAAAGAAAATAGTGGAATTTACATCACCACTCGAGTTGCTCTTTAGCACCCAGTCGAAAAATAGCCAAATTTCATCATTCCGACCCTCGAATCTTCATTTCGACCCTCGAATCTTGACTATTGTGAATTTTGGGTTCTTGGGCATTCTAACATGGTTAAAATAGCGCAATTGCACAATGTATCATCCTAAAAAGTACCAAGTAATACTATAACATGTCACAACTACATATAAAAAAATCATGTTATACTAATTTATGACATCTTATATTTGTATCATAAAATATTATAACTCCTTTAACACTATACCACATGACAAACCAACTCGAAAGTTGAGGAGGCTCTTAAAATGGGCCTACGAGTCAAATGTGTATTATAACGTGTAACCTCTTTTTTTTTAATAGAAACAATGTACTATGCATCATCACTAGTTGGTGATGGAAATCCATCACACCTCATAGCTTTCTTACCCTAAGGCATATCAACAATGTCCCATGTATATAGTTTAGTTGAAAGACATTCATCTCATCAATTACTGTCATTTTCCAGGCTCGAACAACAAGAGCAACCTCGTCCATCAGGGTCGTGGCAAATGCTAAGTAGGTTTATGATAAACAACAGAAAGAGGCATATTTTGCCATAAAATAGAGAAGACATGTTTGATTGCATACCTTACTTGGAGAACTCAGATGTCGCCCAGAGTGGAGTCAAGGTCATTTAAGGAGGCAGTGAGTTCTAGAGTAGGAGCATTGGAACTGGTGCGTCGAATGTAGACATGGATAGTAAAAGGAGGAGATAGTGCACTCACTGGATCCGAGAACTCACTGGATGGTGCACTCACCGAGAAAGGGGACTCTTTAGTAGTGGGAACAAGGGGGGGAACAACCATAAGAGTAGGATAAGTGATAGTGTCTAAGAACCCAAGCTAGGAATACTTTCAAAAAAGGAGATATAAGCACTCACATAGATTTTTTTAGCGGTAGGATCAAGGGACTGATACCCCTTTTGAGTGGCGGAGTACCCAATGAAGATACATTTTATGGATTTGAGATCATGTTTACTCTGATTGGATGCAGTGTTCTGAAAAAAGTCGGTGCATCCAAAAATCTTTGGGTCTAACGTGAAGAAGAATCTATTGGCAGGGAAGCATGACATCAGGACAACTAATTTGTTCAAAACTTGTGAATTTTAGAGGAGATTATTTATGAGATAGGTAGCAGTAGGAATGACATCGTTTCAAAAACATTTCGGAACATTGGATTGAAACATGATGGAGCAAAAAATGTTGAAGAGGTGATGGTTTTTTCTCTCGTCTACCCCATTTCGTTGAGGAGTATCTGTACATGAGCTATGGTAAAGAATACCCTTACTCACAAAAAATTCAACCAAAATAGAGTTAAAAAATTCACGACCATTGTTGGATTAAAAGACCAAAAATGAGTTTTGAATTTACTTAAAAATAAGCTGTAGAAGTTTTAGAAGTAACAACTTCTAATTTGTCATTTAAAATGTAAACCCACGACATCCAAGTGTGGTCATCAATCAAAGTTAGGAAAATCATTTTATTGGTGTAGTTGGGAGTGCGAGAAGGTCCCCATATGTCATTGTGAATGAGGGAGAAATGGGCAGAATGAGAGTGAGTGTGGGATAGGTAATGGACCCAATGATGTTTAACTAACTAACATGTCTCACAATTACAATTAGAAGAGCTCTTATTAGAAAACATAAAAAAATACAACTTTTTTAAATATTGAAAACTAGGATGACCAAAATGACAATACAATAAAATAATGGGACATTCAATGACTCGAGATAAGCTGCAACTCCTAAAAGGAGTGTAAGTATTTTCCATGCTCTTCTCTTGAAAGTAGTAGAGTCCAACTACCCTCTTAGCAATTCTAATCATCATCCCCAAATGATGATCCTTAAAAGCAGAACCACATAAGAGAAGTTGGCAATGCAATCAAAATCATTCGTCAACTTGCTGATAGATAACAAGTTACATTGCAATTGGGGAACATGTAAAACAAACTCCAGAGTTAGATCGATTGTTAATGTAATTGACCATTTACCAACAATTGAACTACAAGAACCATCGACAATCCTAACTGTATCTTTTTCAAAGCAAGAATTGTAAGTCAAGAAAGCTTGAGAACATCCAGCCATGTGATCCATGGCTCTTGAATCAATAATCCACGGACATGAAGAAACTTGATTGGCTCCAAGAAGCGTTATCAATTGCTCCATCTAGTTTTTCAATGATTCGGAGGATTCCAGGATGTTTTGGGTAGGAGTTGGTTGAGTCTCGCCATGTTTGGCTGTTTTCGTTGGTCGAAAGTTACCTTGAAGTTTTGTATATCGAAAGTCCCTTGGCAGCAGAGGATTTGGTCGAAGGTTTGTATGTCGACTTACCTTGAAGTTTCCAACACTTGTCCTGAGTATGGTTAGGCTTGTGATAGTAATTACAAGTGGAGTGACCAGTTTGCAGGTGCATGAACAAGGGTTTATCACTATTTGAGATCAAGGCAAATGACTCAGCTGAAGGTGTAGAAGTATAAAGCGTGATAAGTCTTCTGCTTTCTTCTCGACAAATCTCGTTGAAAGCAGCATGAGCAGAAGGAAGATAATCCTGACCAAGAATACGACCTTGAACCTCATCAAGGTCATTGTTAATGCCAAAAAGGAATTGGAATATATGATCCTTTTCTACAATCTTTTGAAAGAGGGACAGGTCAGCAAGAGAATTTCAAGTATAGTCATAGTAGATGTCGCATTCCATCCATAATGTACTAAGATTATTATAGTATTGGGTCACGATCCTAGACCCCTGTTTTGCCTCCCGTATTTTTTTAGATATCTCATAGAATTGGCTAGAATTTCCTACATCGAGTAGGTATCACAGACAGTCTTCAAGGGAACACTAGCTGAAGGAAGGAACATGTACGAATGACTAATTGATGTTTCCATGGGGTTTATTAGTCATGACATGACCATGGAGTTCTCCACCTCCCATGTTCCATATATTGGGTTAGTCTTTGGAGGCTCACGAATCATACATGTGAGGAAACCAAACTTCCCACATCCTCTGATGAACAAAGAGACCGCTTGGGACCATTGGAGGAAGTTGTTGTAGTTCAATTTATGAGTTGTGATCAAGCAATTTAAGTTGGCTTCTGGTCCTCCAGTTAGCACAGGAGCGGCGTTTAGAGTAGATCCTCCGGTGGAGTCAAGAACACCTTCCGAGGTAGATTCATTGAAAGAATCAACCATAATTTCAATTGAGCCAAAAATTATGATATTGTGAGCCATCGATGAATTTCAGTAGAATCTCAAGAAATAGATGCACTAGCAAGAACCCTTAGAACAACAACAAAGGGAACAGGAACCCTTCTTGCAGAACACCAACATGAACCCTTCCAGCAGAAATTGATATACTGGCATGTAGCAAGAACCCTTCCTGCAAAACAGTGGTAAAGGAACTGGAGGCCAGATGCGGTGCTACTGGGAGATCCAATGGAGATCAAGTAGCATAAAGAGGCCAGATGCGGTGCTACAGGGTGATCCAACGGGTAAACCATGTTATGCTTTTAGCAGCAGAACGTGTTGTGCTCCAATAGAAGGAGGCCTGCAGATTCTCTAACCAAGACTGCTAGGATAAGGAGGCGGCTGTTGGAACCGACAGAGAAAACTGGAGGTTGTTGGATCTCGGGTTTAACTCTGATACTATGTTAAAATTTGGAATAGACCGACACAACTTTCACAACTTTATTGATAGAAGAGGGGGCATTTAAACCCAATTATAATAGGCACAACAAATAAAAGAAATAAAACCGAATAAAATGAATCGGAAAGAAATAAAACAAAGTAGCAAATACATAATGAGGGAATTAAAGCTAGTAGGCAAGAAATAATAAATAATAATGGCCAGGAATTTGATTGAGATTTGATTCTTGTTATAAATCTAATAATTTCTCTAGTACTTCTTTTAGCAAAACTAGTTATTAGATTATTTAAAACCCACAAGGTTTGTGACATCTCTAGTTGAGGCATTTGTACAACACATTACACATTAGTATTTTGGTTTTGTAGTATTCATATTTTTTTTTCTAATTTTTTTTATTGGCCAATGGCATGGGAACAAGACCAAGTATATGGCCTTATAATGATTTGAAAAAACTAGACAATCCAACTTGGCCAAAAAACATGAGTAAAATTAATTTGTATTTACATGGATTTTTGTAAAGCAAACCAACAGCATAGTGAACTTCACTCTAAACATAAATTTATTAAAAATTAAATATATAAATAATTCAAATTACATCAAAGTTAACAACAAATCAAAGTAAATTTGACGCAAGAAAACAAACTGCATAGTGAACATAAGACTTGATGCAGCTGTTTCACATGAATAACTTTCTTCTCAATTTTGCAGCATTGCCACATGAGCATTTCATGTATTTGGTTCTAGGCCGATTAGAGGCTCATATGATTGTATCCCTAACTTAATTTTTTCACTAATTTCTCTAAAAAATGAATATTCGCACAAACAAAGGGTAACTAATTTAATTGTCATAAGCTACTGTTTAGAAGTTGCAGGTAGGACATCACCTCCTTTTTAACATCCTCTCTTCTCAACTTTCCAGTGGTAGTTAATGGAAATGGCTTCCTCCATGGCATATAGACCTTGGGTATCTTGAAACTACATCAACCAAAATTCATAAAAGAGAAATCATATAATCTTATTATGATTATATTTATGCATATTGAAGCAGAACTAACAACACAAAAATTCTCATATTATAGAAAAAAAAAAAGAAATAAGGCATACAAATGAAACATTTTATATCTATTTCTATAGCTAATTAAAAAAAAAGAAAGAAACAGCTTGTTTTAGCTTATTTAACAACAATTTGTCATTAGGGAACTATCAGGATAATCTCTTTACTTGTAAATGAAAACATGAAATAGGCTTGCAGCAACAATCATACAGATTACTGAAAAGGAAGAGATTACCCAGTTAGTTTTCTATGCCTACAAAAATTCTGCATTATCTCACTAGATAGCAGATTTGCCTCCAAAGAGTTCCTGGCACTTTCATTAACCCATATCCAATCCTCTTCAATTGAAACACAAGCAACAATCTTTTCTGTGAGACGGGTATCTGGAATGCCAACAACAACAGCACCAGCCACACCTATGTGTTGACAAAGTACAGCTTCCACCTAAATCAACAACATATTTCATAACAAGGGATGCATAAGATTTCAGAAGATGCCAACAAATAGTTACATTCATCATAGTTTCATTACTTCAAAATAACACAAATCAGACAGAAAAAGTTCAAAGGTTTCGATATTAGAGTTTGTGTAGAAATTTAAAATTTGTATCATGTATTACCTCCTCAGGATATATATTTTCTCCTCCACTTTTAATTCGATCTTTTGTGCGCCCAACTAGCCATAAATTGCCATGACTATCAAGCCACCCTATATCTCCAGTATTTAGCCAACAACTCTTATCACAATTGGAAGTTTTTGTTAATTGATCCCAGTAACCAATCATCACATGCAAGCCTCTAGTTAATATGCTCCCCACCATAGGTGAACTAGAAATAGTAGGATCACAGCAGATCTTCAATTCAATGTGAGGAGGTGGTTTACCAACACAAACTCCAACATATAGCTGGAGGGAGTTGGATTCTAATATTTCAGAACATGAAGGGCTTTTCCTCAGCTTTTGAGATGACGGATCAAATATCAGCATGAAAGTGAGAGAGGAGCATGCTTCTGTCATACCTTACCAGATGAAACCAAAAGATAAAGGGGATTAGAAAGGTGCCAATAGTTAATGAATAAAAGGGTTGGTATGCTTTTCATACTCATAGATTTGTAATGTGCATGAGCCTCTTTTGATATAAGGCATAGTTAAGGACATAAAGATGTCGTTTGGTATAGAAATGATATGGGGCAGTTTGATTTACTGTAATGCCTTGAATCTAATTTTTTTAATGTTGAATAGATGCACTGCATTTGCTTTATACAAATGCAATCATCAGTTAATTCCCTTGAAAAAACTCGACAAAATAGTGAAAGCCAATTTGGTGCATTTACACATTTACTTCGCAAAAATTTTGTTCACGCATAAAACTATTTTCAACAAGCCAAATAAAGACTGCCACTTAAACACACATCTCAAACTTCATCAATACAATTTGAACAACTCAAATGTATTTAGAAGGCAGTATCCAATTAGAAAGCCTGTTGAAGGATATTTTACTTGGATAGTCCAACTGCAAAGGCACAATCTAATTGCAATTCAAACAACATTATTTTTTCTAGAAAATTAGTTGATTCTAAACAATTTCCAGCTGAAAGGAAAAATGACATATTCAGAGTCATAAATTCCACTGACGAAAGTTAAAATATAAAAAAGAGAGAAGAATAAGCAAGTACACTTTAAAAAATTTTCAACAGGTTAAATAAAGATTAGCCTATTAAATATGAATTCCAAACTCCTTCCAATACCATCTGAATATTTCAACTATAATCACAAAGTGGGTTTTTACTAGAAAGCTTTAGGGATATTTTACTTCCACAATCAATTCAAATAATATAATTTTTATAAAGAAAAAGTTTGATTTAAACAAACATTCCAATGAAACAAAACTCAAATAAATGAAGTTTTTCAGTTCTAGGAAATGCCTATAAATTCCTCTAAGAGTTCATTCGTTTGTTGGAGTTATAAAAAATATTTTGAAAAACAATTATGTTTTTTAAATTCATCATTTGGTTGAGCAGTTAAGCACCAATGTTGATTCCAAATTTCACAAATCTTCTCAAATTTTCATTTTAAAAAATATGACTTTATTTCATGTGAAAATAAAATCAACAATTCCTAAAATATGTTTCCTATTTACAAGCAACCAAAGGAGCCCACCAAAAAGTAAATTGTAAGGAATGAGAGAAGAATGCGCAATAAGTGAGAGAAAAATTAACTAACCATAAGCTGAGATAATCTTGGCATTAGGGAACAAATCAATGGCGCCTTTGACAAGTTCGGTTGAGAGGCTACCTCCTCCATTAAGAATCTTGTTTACCGTTTCTCCATTCCATCTATTTGATTTTCTGTCATGAACCTCTTCATAATCATCATAAATGCAATGCACAAACAAAAGCAATAATATAATTGACAGGTATTTTGTTAGATTAACGGCCTTTGAAAGAAACAGGTAACCTGGCAAAGGAAATTAGGTCTGCCAACATTGCTGGAACAGTGATTAGGGAAGTTACATGATTCTGTTCAAAAGCAGCAGAAGCTAATTTTGCACCAAACTTGGGAATGAAAACATGACAACCGCCAGCCATTATCATGGCTATACAAGAAGATATCCCACCAATATGGCACAAAGGGGCTGTATGAAGATATACCTGCAAGCAAATGTCCAATTCATTAACATAAAGTAACCACTTTTTTAAAATTAGGCTCAGAAAACAACAATAGAAAGATAGAAGCTAATTAATTTTCATTATTCTTGATGAAAGTTGAATACTTTGGTAAGTTGCTGGCATAGTTTCTCTTTAAATGATGGCTTACGTCATCTTCAGCATAACCAACAATTGTAATTTTTGCCAGGGACTGGATTACTAATGCTTTATGGCTAATAGCAACTCCCCTGGGCTGTCCTGTAGTTCCTGAATCAAACACAAGTTTGAAAATTATTGATGGTAGGGAGGCTTCATCAGGGTCTTCAGAACAAGATGCGCATCTAAGCATAAATTTTGATATTTTAAATATTTTGGGAGAGACATCTCAATATATGTCAGGCAATGACAATGATGAACATACCTGATGTGAAGCAGATTAAAGCAATGCCATTGATCGCATAAATAGGATCAATGAATTGGGTACCCTGTGAAGGCTTTCTAATGGAATCCATACTTAGAGCTGCAAGAATAAGTGACCATATGCCATTGATCCAATATTGGTAAAAGAAATTCACTAATCGCACTGAACTTCAACCACGGTTTTGAGCAGCATACAATTTGCATTCTTGGACACGTTGGAAAGTGTGTTGCATCCAATAAGAGCATGCAGCCTAAGAGACTTGATGCTGCTACTGTTGGTAAGTTGTACAACCCATGAACTGCAGAACTCATCAACCACCAAAATCACAGGTTTCAAAACCTCCAGGGCTGATCTTGCCTCCTCGATGCTCTGCAATACACTGAAGTAGAATTTATCGTATTTACAGGAGAAACTGTTTTCTTAATGCAGGCTATGTTTATGAGATATCAGTTAATGGCCACTACTTCTATCAAAACAACTTTACATTATCATCAACTATGTACTTAAAATTGGAGCCTGAATAATTTGGCCAACCCAAATAATGGGTAGCCAATGGGGAAAGCATAGCTTAGAACAATTCAAAGAATTACCCTAGACCGTCCTGCTCACCTTTGGCTAGCAATTATAAAACTGAACACAAATAAGTGAGAGCCAAACTGACTTGACCCAATCATTAACTTAGTATATACCAGAGGCTTATAGGGTGGACAAACGCAGTCATAATGATTGGAATTTATTTACACTTTTCCATTGCTTCATTAAAAAGAAAGTTGCATTACTCCAGGTAAGGCATAATTTACCTACCTTAGTTGTCAATGTTTTCATCTATAGCATGCTCTCTCATAGGAAATACATGGTTGGATCCATGTTTAAGGTTTTGCTTGATTTTTTTCAGATTTTGATTTACTATTTACAGCTTGATTTGAAGTATAATATTAACTAGGAAATCCTACACATTCCCATATACATGAAGTTAGATAATAGAAGAATTCCATCATGTCATGTTTACTACATCGTCCAAATCATAAATGACGAAGAATATATATGCTATGTGGTGACTGTAGAGCCAATGGGATGATTTAACGCAAAAAGCTTGACCAAGTTTCAATAGAGAAACTACATGAGTTTACAATAGAAACTAAGCCAAAGTGCTTTTAACACTTCGGAGATGATCAATAGCTTTCACCTATGACTAAAGACTTCACAATCTTTACAAAAGGATTGAAAGATATACAACGCAAACAAGTTTAAAAAGTCTAGCAACTGAAAAATGTTAACAAAATGTTGGAACTCAAGAATGCTTCACTTTGATGAATACTTATGGATTTCTCTTATTTTTAAACAAAAAAATATATATAGAAAACTTCTTTTTTTCTGCTTGAGAACACCTAGAAACAGCATAATATATTTATAAGGGATTTAAAAATAAATAATTGAAATACTTTCAAATCCCCTTCCCAAAGCATCCCAACAGGTGGCAACCACTACTTTTGTAGCTTTTAGCAAGCCAATAAGTTACTCAGTGGATTTCTACATGCCAGGGGAACAATTAATGTTTAAAAAAAAATAAAAAATAAAAATATTAAATCAAAAGTATGTAATATACAAGAAACTGTATTTACATAACTAAATGAATCCTATAGAAATTAAATTTAGCCAAAATTAACTATACAACAAAGTAACATTAAACTTAATTATTAGGAATTTTAAACTGTATCAAATCAGTTTTACAAAGATTCAAAACTCTGTGTGAAAACACAGATGAATTATAAAAGTTATCATATAATTTTTAAGTAAAAATAGAAACAGGAAATCCATTAAGAAATTCATAAGATATAAGCAAAAAATCTTTAATTAACATAACCAGGCATGATAACATGAAAATGAGCTTGTGTGAAGATAATGTTCATGGGGTTGGTTAATAGAAATATGCACAGGGGGAGATATTGATGAGGATAGAGATGCTTTGAAGACCATGAACATATTGTGTGTGACTTACCTATTTGTGTGTATGTGACAGAGAGAGAGAGAGAAAGAATAGGTTACTGTTTTACCTGATAAAAAGAGCAAATAAAATGACTACGAGCTGACCGAATTTTGCCATCAAGTTTTCAATAGGATAACTCAAAGAAAGCCTAATTGAAATCCATAAGAACATTTATTAACTCCTTCAACAACTCCATTTCCTCCTAAATTCAATAAAATCAAACTATAAAACTGTAATTATTAGTATAATTGGAATTCATTTACTTTGTTTTCAATAAAAAAAAAATAGAGCCTAAATAACTTATACCGCATTAAGAAGAGGCAATCATATTGAACAAAGGGAGGTTAAACTTCTAGACAGAGAGCACATCACAGGTTGCTACATTTTAATCCATTCATTATTACTTATTTATAAATTCATTTCTAATCAACCAATTTCATGACAACTTTTATTTTATTTTATTTTTATGAATTTATCACAATCTTTCATTATTCAGAGAGGTTAACTAGCCATGCTCCTATATTTATTGTCCCACCAAATTCACCTCCACTGCCCTGCTCCATATGCAGCACAGCTTGCACTAGCTAACAATGTTAGGGTTGTGAGATTAGCAAATTAGCTTGAAGATCGTTAATCACTTGAAAATTGATCCGAATTTTGGCTCGGATTGAGATCGGATTGAAATAAACGAGCCGAGCTATGAACCAAAATTTTGAATCGAATTTTTTTTTAGCTAATTTCGAGCCGAACCCAGCCCTCCACGAAATCGGATCCTTAACAACCCCAATGATGTTAGTACTGTGAATTTAGCTCAAAGTCCATTAATCGCTCGAAAATTGATTCAAATTTTGGCTCGGATCGAGATTGGATCGAAATAAACGAGCTGAGCTATGAGCCCAAATTTTGGATCGAAATTTTTTTTAGCCTGTTTTGAGTCGACCCCAGCTCAGTTCTAAATCAGATCTTTAACAGCCCTAGCTAATGCAAGCCACCGAATGTAGTGTGAATGAGCAATGCTTCTATATTCATCAAAAAGGCAAGCAGATGCACTTACATGTTCTCTCATTCAAGTAATGATGATTCAACATCACACCTTCTGATAATAAACAAATTAAAGACTTTCAAATGTTGACTTGAATGTATGAAAAAGAAATTAAAAAAAAAAAACTGCTGTACTAGAGACCAAGATTACCCAGCGATAGTTCAACGGAGCAATAATGCCTCCAACATATGTGACAGCCAGTATCCACTCCAAGTACCAATCGCTGAAATCCACAGAACACAAAACACAAAGAAGCTACACACCAAACTAAATCCATTATCATCAGCATTCATTTCATATGCTGAGAGAGGAAATCCACCTGTTGAGCGCAGCGATGACTACCACCTCCCCTCGAAAGAGAAGACCTAACTCCAATAGTCCGCGAGCGAGGCCGAGAACTCCGTCCACGAACTCGCCGCCGGTGCGGCGGCGGTTGCCTGAGATGATGGCCGGACAGCCTTGCTTGAGTTGGACCAAGCGGGTTAGGAAATGGGCGATGTGGCATTGGGAGTTCGCCATTGTTTCTCTGAAATGTGGTAAGCGTAATCCAGAGTGAAGGAGATCGATAGCTAGAGAGCAAAATCATAGACAGCCTCACATTGCCGCCACGATGGCGGATAACGAAGTATGCCAGACCGTGCAGAAAGAGAAATTATACATCTTCATCGTAGATTACCTGATTATATTCTGGATCGGACACCGCATGCAGAGATGTATGGGGGTGTCCGTCAGAAATTATTGCATACGGATGCTTTTAATGGTGGTTTGAAATACATCTTGATCGTAGATCACCTGATTTATATTCTGGATCGGACACCGCATGCAGAGATGTATGGAATGTCCATCCGTATGGAATAATTTTTCATGACCGTGAGCCGGACTAGTTAAAGCCCAATAAATAAGCTCTTAATCCTTAGATTTTGGATAAAAATTATTGCGTGCGGATAACTCACGAAAAAATTACGTGTGTTGTTTGATTTGGATCATAAAAAATTTAGAGTACTCTTCGCTCTCAAAATAAAAAATAAAAATAAAAATATGTATTTCAGTAGTTCAGATCGGACACCGCAAACTCAAGATTTGGAGCCTGAGTTGTAATTAGTTTAAAATTTATTTGAAAAAAAATTTATTCAAAATTTTAGCTTGTAGCTCAACTCCTTTATTTCGATCTCATCTTGGTTCGAGCCAAAGTTGAAATTAATTTTCGAGGCAATTAATGATTTGCAAGCTATATCCGCTAAATACATGCCTCTAATATCACTATGGTTATTAACGGTCCGATTTCAATCTAATCTGAGGCTGTTTGAAAACCGACTACAAAAAAATTTGATCCAAATTTTGACTTGTCTACTCAGCTATTTCAATCCCATCTCCATCTTAGATAAAATTCAAATTAACTTTCAAGCAATTAACGATCTTTCACCTAAAATCACAGCGCTGCTAATAAAGCCCAGAGGCTTATTGTGGAGCGTGTTTCCGACGCGAAAAGTGGGCATATATAAGAAAATATTTCGTCCGGAAGTCCGGACACAAGCTACATGCGGACAACAGACAAGATATACTGGTCGGTGTTTTTTTTTTCGCAATTTTTTTTACTATAAGTTTGATTTTTTGTTGCTTATCTTGTTGAACAAGAAAAAAATATTTTACATTCATTTTTTTCATTAATTAAGGGCCGTTTGGGGGGTATTATTTTATTTTTATTTTACCTTATTTATTGATTAAGGATTTATTTGGGATCTATTTTTAAAAAAATATATTCATTAACTGTATTTTTTAATATATTTTTTATTTTTTGTTTTAAAAAATAAATTGACACATTTTTAGAGCACTTGAAAAAATATTTGAGGTTATTTGAGATTAGGGGTGTAATCAAGCCGAACACTTATATTTCGAGCTAAAAAAATGTGTTCGTGTTCGGCTCGTTTGCTTAACGAGCCGAATACGAGCCTTTCACAAACAAAGTCATTTTGACAACCCTAATCATGTAGTCATAAGATGTTAATAATTGAGGCAAGATTTAAAACATCATTTGAAGCTAATATAATAATTTGTATTCTATTTTCTTAATTAGTAATTTTAATTGATTATAAATATTTG